ACACACAGAGAGAGAGGAGGGGAGGGAGGGATAGTGTGTCTCCTGCCTCCTCCATTCCGTGCAGCCCGCACTCCGCTCGGTCGCTGATTCCCTCCCCGGGCAGGCGGGCGGTGAGCCGGTCATGGCTGCTAAGTCGGACGGGATGCTGAAGATGAAGAAGGGCGACGTTGCGTTCACCCCGCTGCAGGACTCGGAGCACTCGGGCTCGGTGCAGGGGCTGGCGGGCGGCTCTCAGCCCGGTGCGGGCGGCTCGCGGTGCTGCTGCAGTGGGGGTGAGCCGGGCACCCAGCCCTGGCCCCAGCCCCGGCCCCGGCGGTGCTCGCGGTACTCGGTGTGGGACTGCTTGTGGATCGTGGCGGCGGCCGCCGTGTACCTGGCCGATGTGGGCAGCGATGTGTGGCTGTCGGTGGATTACTACGTGCGGGGCCAGCGCTGGTGGTTCGGGCTCACCCTGTTCTTCGCGGTGCTGGGCTCGCTCTCCGTGCAGCTGTTCAGCTTCAGGTGGTTCGTGCACGATTTCAGCACCGAGAGCAGCGCCCCGGGCTCCGCGCCGCCGGGGGAGGGCAAGCCGGGCTCCGCGGTGGTGGTGGTGGTGGCCGGGGGGGAGGGGAGGGCGAGCACCCCGCAGAGACAGGCTTCCACGGCCAGCAGCGGCAAGACCAATGCCACCAGTGCCACCAATGCCACGGCCACCACCCCCGGCAACGGCAGGGCGAGCGCCCCCAGGACCGCCTCCTGCTCCTTCTGCATCTGGACCATGCAGTCACTCATCCACATCCTGCAGCTCGGACAGATATGGAGGTAAATACACACACATAGACACACAGACACTACACACACAGACACTACACACTACACTACACACACTACACTACACACACTACACTACACACACTACACTACACACACTACACAACACACACTACACAACACACACACACTACACAACACACACACACTACACAACACACACACATAGACACTGCACAACACACACACATAGACACACAGACACTACACACACACACACTACACAACACACACACACTACACAACACACACACACTACACAACACACACACATAGACACAACACACACACATAGACACTGCACAACACACATAGACACTACACAACACACATAGACACTACACAACTCAGACACTGCACAACACAACACACATAGACACTACACAACTCAGACACTGCACAACACAACACACATAGACACTACACAACTCAGACACTGCACAACACAACACACATAGACACTACACAACTCACATACATAGACACTACACAATTTGCACACTACACAAAACACACACACATTACACAACTCACACATATATACCTCACACATACACACACACTAAACAACTCACACACTACACACCTCAAATATACACACACCTCCACCCCACCTAATATCCTCCACTACACACACACCCCTCACACACCTCAATATCCTCACCTCACGCACCCTCCCTCACACCCACCACCTCACCTCACATATATACACACCCTCCACCTCAAACCTTTCACCACACGCCCTATACCTCATATACACACACACTACACCTTACATTCCCTCCACCACAAACACCCTCCTCCTCACAAACCCTTCACCACACACAAATCCCTACATCTCACACACACACTCACACACACACAGACACACAATTTTTGTGGTTTATCCTGAATTGATTTTGGTTGTTGGTTTGTTTTTATTTGTAGTTGCAGGGATTTATGTAGACAGAATACACACTCTAAGCATGCATGCTGTCACATCTGTTTATTGTTATGATTTATCAGTATTTAATCCCAAAGTTTAAAAGAAATTACATTAATTTATGTCAAATTGACAACAAGGTTGTTGTGGCATTTTGTATACCAAGATAGAAGTGCATTCTGACTAGGTTGGTTGTTTATATTGCTACTTTCCAGGAATATAACAGTTCCCCAAGGTATGTTGTAAGGTGTTTTTGTCTCCAAACTAATGTATGAAATACAACCACTTGAATGGAGATGTGTTCATAATTTGCACACCAGCAATCCAGTTGCCTGCTAGACCTACAATAGCAAAAAAGATCACAGGTGACTTAACAATAGTGTAGAATCACTTGCAGACACATGACTGTGCTGTCTGCTTGCATTTCAAACCCTGTCCACTTTTGCAATTTAGATGTAACTCTCTGTGTACATTGCAACACACTGCATGTGTCATTTCACCCCCTCAGGCCCCTGCTTTTTATTTAACACTCTATTATATTTTTATTGTCATGTTTGCACTATACTTGTTTATTATTTTGTTAACCCAACTGTTTTTTTTTTTTGTAGCAACTGAGTAATTTTGTATACATATGGTTAATATTTGATTAACACATTTCTAAGTGTTTGAATATAATTTTCTGGTATCGCAGGCTAATTATTGTCTATGTGTTATTGTTGCCAATGTGATGCTAATTTGAAATTTTATTTAGCATTTAATATGTGGATGCTCTAAACAGTTCAAACAGGCAGAATCTTGTGAATCTCAGTGCGCCAACAGGAAAACTCTGTCTTCTCTTTCTAAGGATGTAGCTTTCGAGGGGCTCAAAGACTTCAGCTGGAATTAGCTTTAAAATTATAAAAATAATAGGAGTACCTGCTGTGTCTGCTTAGCATCAAATTATCTTAGAACACAGTGCACAAATAAAGACACCAAGCTCACAAATAAAGCGAGGCCCAACAATTATGAGTCAGGCAAAATGCCATGCTTGCTGAGGAGTTTTATTTATTGTTTTACTCATAATTTATAATCAATGTCAACTCATCTAGAAAAGAGCAATTTGCATAGAAATATATCACCCGTGGTCTGCCAGTTCCTAGAGCGTAAAACGTGTCTTGCTCATTGGGCTGAAGCTAGTATTTGCCACATGCTGGTTGATCATTATGGCAAGTACAGTCCATAACAGGTAGATGTTGCCTATCACTTTTTATATATAATGTATGATTTAGCAATTATGGTTGGCTAGTACATTTTGTCTCCACTTGGATCTAGGTGATTGCTTCCAAATCTCCATGTATCTACATATATATGTATCTACAAAATCAGTTTTGTATCATTTCTTTTGTTTTCTACAGTTTGTATATAATGAATGCGCATGACCTTCTCTAATGGCCTCTGTTGGAAATATGTAAAATATTTATTGATTCATCACTCACAGTATATGGCTATGTGTATTGTCCAAGAAACTGAAGGAGTGGAGTTTTTATAATGAATTGTGTAGAACATATTCTTACAAGCATGTTCTCAGATATAACAGTTGCTCTGAACCACGTTTCCCAATACCCAGTACGCTAAAAAGTTGTGTCACGCAACGAGAATTGATTTAGCAGTAAACTTTTTTTTAAATCTGGATTAAACAACAGAGTTAGAAAAAGATTTCAAATAAGCTGAGTGCAACATTTGTATTTCAGACTCCTCAATTATGGGCTACATTTCCCAAATCAGTTGTTAATACATATTAATATTTATACACAAAAAAAAAGTCCTGCGCTCAAACTCCCACTACTCTTGGGCGGCAGCAATGACCATAGTACACAACAGCCACAATACATACAGTAAAAACCAAATAAGAAAGTTAACTGCACTCTTTCCAAATCCCTATGTATATTTAAACAAATGGAGGTTATTTCGTTACTCCAATGGCCATTAGATGGAAGCCCACCTGCCACGTCAAGGCAAACCATATTAATATTTAGTGAATAAATACATGTGTTTTCATTTCATTAGTTGTTAATTGCTTAGCAGCACATTGTGTTGGAGTTGTATCATGATGTTAAAGTGAAACTTATTTTTGCTGTAACCCTACATTCAGTGTATTATATTGCCAACTTGAAATTTTCACATTTAAAGTCCTAAGGTACTAGCCAGATATAACATATAGTCACTACCAGAAAATGCACGTAAACAACATTTTTTTTTTTTTTTTTTTTTTTTTTTTATACGGAGTGTAAGTTTGTGTAAATGCATTGGTTTTTATTCTGAAGTGGATTTTAATGAGTGTTCTGTGTGAACGCAGGGGTGGATTTTTGTGAGTGTTCTTTGTGCACGCAGGGGTGGATTTGTGTAGTGTGTTAGTAAGTGAATGGAAAGGGAAGGACACCGTGAATGCATCTATTTCTCCTTTAAACTTGTTCTCTTATACTCAGTGTCCCCTTCTTTAGCAGTGTTACCATTGTCTCATTCTCATTGCATCCCTTGTTTATCAGTGTCACCTTTCGCTCTTAGCGCCCCTTCTCTCACTCTTGCTGCCCCTTTTTTAAATCAGTGTCCTATTTTTCTTCCAATCAGTGTCCCTCTTCTCTCTCTCAATGTCCCCTTTTTATACTGTGTCTGCTATATCCCATCCCTTAGTAATATTAAGTTCTCATAAATTCTGCTTACTCTTGCTTACTGGAGGGGTTTCACCCCTGGTGTCCAGTTGCACAAAGTAGTTGTGAAGAGTACTACAATTCAAGTCGCACGGTGTATAGAACGATGTGAAGCTCAGTTCCTCATGATTCCTCTGTATTACATGATGCCAGTAGCAGCTATGTCGGAGTTCAGAGCCCCTGCTATCTCTAGTACCCCCACTGCAAGTAGTAGGCAGCTTGCCTTCTTCAATATCCATTTGCTCTCTCTCAAAAATGTTGAGCCTTAACATTGCTACAGTTTACTATTTTTAATTTATCGTTTACTTTGTTTTCTTGTTTTTCTCTTGCAGCCAGACAAACTGTCATCCTGTTCACAGATTATCATATATATTTTAATGTTTTTCTTTTTTTTTTTTTACCTGCAAAACCACCATCTAGCCCCTCCCGGGCCCCTCATGCCTCCATAAATATAGCAAAATCTTCCTGTGTTCAAGCCAGAAGCAGTAGATCTACATGCTGTTTGCCTTAAAAAAAAAAAAAAAGCTATCTGCTGACATCATCAGAAGTGGTGGCCTGATCCATTCACAATGCTTCCCCATAGGATTGGCTGAGACTGACAAGGAGGCAGATCAGGGATGAATAGAGATGAATCGTAGAGATGAATTGAATGAATCAATAGGAGGAAAGTTCAGTGTCTGCATGCAGAGGGAGGAGACACCTAATGTTTGGATGCATTTTAGGCAGCCATGACCCAGGAAGGATCTCTAACAGCTATCGGAGGAGTGGCCAGTGAAGTTATCACCAAGGAAAAAGCCTGAAGCTAATGATTCTACTCACCAGAACAAATTCAATAAGCTGTAGTTGTTCTGGTGACTATAGTGTCAAAAAAGTAGAAAAATTCCATTCACTTGAATGGTGACTTCTGTAAAAAAAAATAATTTGGAGTGTTGTATTTCAACAGTATTGCATCATTTGGAAAGGTTATTAAATTGGGGCCTTAATTCTCTATTTCAAATAAAATACACATGCACTGCCCTACATTGCGAAATACTGAATGTCACCGCTTTGTAACACTAAAGTTCTAAACACTTTAGATTGTGGTTTTAAACTGAAAGGTATCAGAAGTTCAAAAAAAATCTGAGGTTCTCAAAGGGTGGAGCCGAGCTTGAAAATAGGAACGGTCCACAAAAGTCGTATTTATTTGAAAATATTAAATTGAAGAAACTGTTAATACTATTAACTTATACATGATACAGAGAATTGTCAGTAATACTGTTACCCACCACTGTTAATACTATTAACTTGTACATGATACTGACAGTTTCCTTTAATAGACTGGACGCTGGCTGTGCACGGGCTAACTTTGACACTTTCTCAGTCACCACCAGGCAAAATAAATTCTTC